GCCTAGCTCAATAATATGCTTTATAAATAAGCAAAAACTGTACAGCAAAAACTAAAAGTCCTAGCTTAATTCTGTCTTCACCATTCAAACCAGCTTTAAAAATAAGTCGACACGTATATTTTCATTTCAAAAAAATGGTGTGTATTTTCAGTTTATTAAACAATAAGTTCCCAATGTTTTTTTTATGGAAATATTAGTCTGTAAAGACATCAATTTTAAAAATATACCAAGATAGTTAAATATGACTTTATGTATACCAAAATACTTGATCATTATTTGGCTTCAACATGCTGAAGTCAGATTTGAAATATGTACACCCAGTTAGTTTTTATTCGCATTTTACGCATACCAGTTTCGGATGAATGTAGCTGTATATATAACAAAGTTGTGTTGAATGTAAGAGTGAGTGGTTTGTGAGTGCAATGGATATGTTATCCATGAAAAAGGCCTCTCTTTCCGATTGCCGTTCACTCCATATATGCGATAGGCTTTGGATTCTGTGATACTGTTTCCGCTCTGATATCGTGTCGTTTGTGTTGATTTTGTCGTCAATTCCAACAGTGATAGCATTGATGCGACAATAAATGCAATCACTTATACAAGTGCTATGAGAGAGATCTCCGCTCAATAACCAGTGCCCCTACCAGTGCTGGCAAAGGGCAGCCCAAGCTTTAGCCCTAAGATTTACCATATAGTTTGGTTGTTGTATTCAACACAACCTTCTTCTCCATGATATCGATATATTGTTTGAGCCTTTTTTGGTGACTCAATGCTTATCTCAAATCCATTACTACCTAAAACACAATACCATACGATGGCTATAGTCTTCAGTACACTATACATACATATTCAATGAGTATTTTCCGGTTAACATCGCTAACCATTTGGTGCACACATTGTATAAGAGAGAGAGAGAGAGAGAGAGAGAGAGAGAGAGAAATAGCGATAAAATGTAATTTTTTCATATTAAGCCCTCTTTTTAGGCATTAATATATATTTTTGTTGAAATAATTTAAGTGAAGAAATATAATAAAATACATTATAAAAAGTGTACACTTTATGCTCTGTTTAATCGATGGTCTCATTCTTGGGTCGACTCCCGAAGAGTGATGTTTAGTTATGAAGTCTAAAAAAGTCTTAATATATTTTTTTCTCATTCATTATTAACTTCATTCACATTATTATTGCAATTTTATACACATTTTATTTGAATAAAACACTGCGAATAGTGTACATCTGATCCCACTATTAAGTATACAGACTATTAAGACACTGCTTAAAGTCAGTCAAGTTTTAATGATTATGTTTAGGGAAACGATTATTATTATTTTGTACACTATTCACGGACTTCATTGTAGAGTTAAGTGTTTAGTTGACTATAAGTGTAATTAATGTGATTTATTAACCACTAAAGCAAGAATTATATCAAGTTTATTATATTTGTTCATATGTTAGAAAAGAAGTTATACAAATTAATGTCATCTCTCTCTCCGGACATAAATGTTTGAAATTAAGCCAAAATCTTTGATTGAATGTTCAGTATGTGTGGAAACAGAGCCCATAATATCAATTGTTTGCATAATTTATTGAATACGAGAGCATTGTATTTGTTATACAGTATTGGATTTAAAAGAAAATTATTAATACTTGTATTCAAATAGAAAATATCATTTATTATGATTTATTTCAATATGGTTTTTGCGAAACAATGTATAAATTGTTATAATTTATTATTATTATATTTTATAAGCCTTAGAATTACGAGTAAAACACCCAAAAACTACTTACTTTTAAGAATATATTTAATGCAATATTTTCTATATTACTTTTATTAATAAATAAATTTAAATTAAATTGTTTATAGGTTTGAAAAACTGAAAATTTATTACAACTTAATTAATAATTTTATAAACAGATTCGTAGAAAGTGGTCATTTGTCTCTTTGATTTGTCATTTGAAATAATTTTTTGTTTTTATGGGATTTTTCCAAATGATATCACTGTTTAATAAAATATATTTGAATGTTGTTTATCTATAATATAACTTAATTGTCAATTAGAAAACGGCTAATGTATTGATATTTGTGTCTCAACTATAATGTAAATAACTATCAAACATTATAGACCTATTTAGTTAAATAAATGCTAAATCTTTAGCCATATATTAATATACGTTATAATGTGCTATTAAAATAATATTTTATAATATTATTATATTTTAATATTATATTCTATGAGACAATATTAATATGAGAGAAAACATACGATTCTGTATATTATATACATGTACTGAATAGAGTGTGTATTTTGCTTTTTTATTTGCCACACATTTAGCACATCATTAGCACCTATTCTCAGACATTAGTTCATAATTATAGTTATTTGTTAAAACAATTCATTAATATCCCGATGTATTTGTGCCCCTCATATGACAGGTCGAGCTGATTTTGGCGGTATAGACAACGCGGCCCTTGATTTCAGTCAGTTGGAGGACTATATCAATGACGAGGAGGACAACCAAAACACAATGTAAGTTATCATCGTTTTATATCATTGTTACTTTACAAATTTATCTAGTTAGTTTTTTAATAAGGTGCCTAATCATAATCTAATAATTGATTGTAGAAAATCAGTATAATAACGTACAAAGTATAATGAATACTACTTTTAAATTCAACTAATTATACTAATAACATATGCTAGTTCAAAAATGTATATAGCCTAACACTGCCATTAAAGTGCCCTTTATAATTCTAGTTTAAATATTGACCATAAATATGAATGAAATGCAATTATTTCGGCAAACAATAGAATATATCGCTCTTTATTTGGATATCAATTGTAAGAAAAATAAAACAAAATACTAAACAATTTATTTTCAATTATTATACGAGAAAATGTCTGTATTTTTCGGGTGGAGTTTTGAAGAAATTATATTTTATTGAAACTAAATAATAGTGATTATTATAATGTAAAAAGTATTTACTGTTAATTGAATTTCAACAAAACAATCAGTTATTCATAAACTTTTTCTCTCGTTATAAACAAATACAGAGTTTTAAATATATTTATATAAACCTATTATACAATGTGTTTAAACGAAGGGAACATTTTGTTTATCTTTTTTATGATTACATTATAATATATTTTTTTGTGAGAAATTTGCCATAAAATAGTCTCCAGAATATACTGTGTATTATATATACGAGTTTTATGTGATATTTATTTAGTTTTACACTTAAATTCATGCCCTAATTGTTGTATACAAACATATTGTGTGTTTGCGATAATCATTATTAAAATTATGCCCAGAATTAAGTAGAAAAATGTTTTTCTTTTTGAAATAGAGGTAAGACATTAACTCTTCAAATACTATTCACTTTGATTAATAATATTGCTCTCTCTCTCTCTCTCTCTCTCTCTCTCTCTCTCAAAATAATTATTGTAATATTACTATAATTGTAAATAATATTTCATTTTTATGTTAAAATTTGAATTGAGACATGTTACATGTATAAAATCTATGTTGGACTAAATTTTTATATAGTGTTTTACTTATATATAATACTGAACCGTATTATACAGTATAATTTAATTAACATACTTTTAAATATCGTATTTTAGTGACACTTAATTTTGTTGTAAAACATATAATAGTTATCAAATTGAAATATGATTGACAACAAGACGTCCGCTATTGTTGTTTTGATTAGTTTTATAAATTTAGAAAAATATTTATAAACCGATGAGAGAGAGAGAAATAATGATTAGAAAATACATTTATATGACAATAACTAGTGATGTCTCCCACAAGTGACAGATTAAATACTCTCAATATTTTTTTGTTACTATTTTTTTATTTCTCATTACATTTTAATTCAATTTTTATTTATTATTCAATTTCTATGGATATCATTAAATACAACAAAATAAAAACACTAATAGACTCTGTATTTAAGAGTTCTTACGATTATTGTTATTATTATCGACATTCAAATTGTCATTAAGTGGCCATTTGTGGTGCGAATATAGTATCTCGTTATTCACACCACGTTTTTAATGATAATCACATGAATTTCTTGGTAAATAATGCTTTAAATTTTTGTTTAGTTAATGTTTGCGACAAATAATGATCGCATAAATTATATTATAAAATATGTTTTATTTTGATTACATCGGGTCTCGGATTGAAATGATTAAAACATTAAGTTTTGTTAATGCCGTACGAAATGTGTATTATTAGTCGAGACGAGTTCACATATTTTTACCTTCATATATGAATGTAATATTTGTTTTAAATGTGTTTTAATGTAATTTAATGTAAGTTTGTTTTATTTTTTGGGAGATTTAGTGAGAATTTTTTAATCATTTCTTACACCTAATGAAAGTCTAAATTTGGTTTCTCTTAATAACCATTTTTAATAATCTTTAACACAAACCAGTTATTAGTTATTTAGATATAATGTAAGTATTTTTATTATAAAAATTTTATACATAATAGTTTGGTTTTTACTGATTTTGCGTTTCGCATGAAATATAGAGTTATTTTATTAATAAATTTTATAATGAAATGATTGAAAGTAATGTTAAGTTGTTTTTCCGTTGAATTACTTATTGAAAAATAATTTTATAATTTTAGAAAATCCCATCAAAACAAAAATTTTAAAAAAAGTGAAATTATTTTTGTTGACATCAATAGGAGTTTAGTTTTACTTTTTTTTCTAATAGTTTAGCAAAAAATTATAGTTTAGTTGTGAAATACGGCAAACATTTAGCCGATTATGTTATTAAGCGATTATAACTGTTGAATGAAATCCAATGAACAAATAAAATGCCAAATATTTTGCTTCAATTGAGAGAGAAATAAGTTTTGCTTATTTTTTACGACATTTTAATTGTCAAAGAAAATTGATTTGTCAACGATTTAGTCCATTAATTATTGGATTAATTTTGTGACAATTTTCACTTAAATTGAATCTGTTTTGTAAATTTCAAAGTTTTTTATATCATTTGATTATTTGGACTAATTTTTTAATCAATAAGTTTTCTCTCAAATCAATTTATTTGTCATTTTAATTGATAGATTTTAATTGTGATTTTCATTCACTGTTTACGAGCGAAAAATTAAATAACAATTTTTTGTTGTCATTTGTTTTCAATTAAAGCTTTTGTTTTCTCAAAAACTCATTCATTGTTTAAATATAATATAATAATTGTTTTTCACTATTATTTCAGCCAAAAGTTGTGTTGATTTTGTATTGATTTCAATCAGACGTGAAATTCATGTCAATGTTATTATTGAATACAAGAATACATTTCGGTATTGAATTCAATAGATTTTTGTGAAAACCTTTAAATAAATAACTTTTTCTCGTTATTTAAGCTCAAAATTCAGAGAATATTTTGCGAATTAATGTGTGAAGAGAAATATTATACCATTTTATTTATAATTTTTATTGTAAATCAATGATAATTCAAAAGTAATGATAGTCTCGTTAACAATCAATTGGGTCAACAATTGTCACCAACAAGCAAAATGTCATTAATTTTATGTCCATTTGATTGTTATTCACATATCGATGAATGAGTTGTGAGACTTTTTTGATGGTAATTCATTCATCAAATCAAATAAGACACACATTAACACACAATAATCGCACACATTATTAAAGGCAACACTAATTACTGTTCATGTTGTCTAATGTTGCCAATGATGCCAATGTTGCCAATGATGTTAATGTTGCCAATGTTCTCAATGATACCAATGTTCCCTATATTTCCAATGTTTTGCTTGTTTTACATATGAAAATAAATTTTTAGGCTTAAAAAACTACATCAAAACTGTTATAAAAACCCATCCAAAAAATAAAGTGTTTAATTTCACAATAAAACAATAGTCACAATAAAACTTTACAAAACTGTTCAATCAATTAACTTACAAGTGATTAAAACTAACACAAAAATTATAAAAAGTTTAACTAATTATAAAAACTATTTAATTGAAACTTAATTATCACATGAATTAACGTATTTTATTATCTCTATTATAATTGACAGCTATTTTCAAGAAGCGTTGGTTAGCAGTGATCTCAGACTCGAAGAATCGACAAGAAGTGCAATCAAAGTAGCGGCCAATCCGGGAATCGTTGGCCAACAGCAACCGCTGCCCGTCGGAGTAGTTGCCGGTCCGCCACAACTGCCCCAATACCCGGGTCAGCCACCAGTGCCCGGACCCACACCCGCTCCCCGAACCACAACCACTACTGTCACACTTGCGGTCAATAATAGCGCCAATAAGTCGCCCAAATCTCAGGCCAGGAGTCAGCCGGCGCTGACACAATCGCCGCTAACTCACGCCAATCAACACCTGAACCGACAGCCGGTGACACTACACCCGGCGGTCAATAATAGCCCGATCGGCGTAACGCATATCGGCTACAAAGGCCCGCAAACAGGCGCCGCGAGACAACCCGTCCGACACAGCGGTCCACCGCCTGTTCAACACACGAACGCCGGTCAACAGCAGCCGCGGCATCACTTGCCAGACTCGCCGCCCGATTCCGGCTCTGAGCCCCCATTTTCGCCCCTAAATGACGACAAATTGGTTGTGAACGGCGTTAACGGCACACAAGTCGGCAATCCGTCCGATATGATGATCGGTCAGGGAATCGACGGCATGAAGACATTCATCAATTATAATCACAATTCGCTGAAACAACTCATCCCACAGAATGAGAACTCATTGTTGACGACAACACCGCCGCACCATTCGGTGAGTTAACACCAGATTATAATGTCTTGTGATTTTGTAACTCCAATATAGCTAACTGTGAACCACTTCCAGCCTCAGCAGCCAATGCCAGGACTGCCACCCATGCACTCACACCCGGTGACACTCATACCGCAAGAGGTGCCGCCCATCAACCAAATGGTTCCCATACCGGGACCGCTGGGCATTCAGGCGACGCCCGTACCGACCGGAATGGTCTCGCCGGCCACCGGACACCTGACCACACTATACGGCACTAACGAAGACTACTTGGCCGCGTGTGAGTGCATCAGTTCACCCGAACAACAGCCGCCACCACAACAACAACAACACAGTAACCACAACACCAACAGTCAGTCCAACGGCGGTCCCAATAACAAGAAGCGCAAGATATCGGGCAAACAAAACACATCCAACGCTAATATGATGAACGGCGGTGTCGTCCACATCAAGCAGGAACCGGACGGACTGTCACCCGAACCCAACCACTCGTCCGGCTCAGCCCTCGGCGTCAACAACAGCCTCCACACCACGACATCGATGATAGTTCCCGGCGATGAAGAGTACTTCGAGTACGGACCCGACGGACAGCTGTATCTCGATTCGGTCTATCAGTGCATTCGGTTTCAGGTCTTTCAAAACAATCCGTTTACAACTCTATGCGACTCTTCGTATAAGGAATTGTATGTGACGTTTGATTATCACTTGATTTGTTTTGATGCCAACACTTCTAACCACTATTTCTCTACCTCTTTGTCTGGTCTCTGTGGCCGACATCCAGACCTCCGCCCAACTATAGGGTCGACGCCGACAAAGGCTTTAACTTTAGTAACGCTGACGACGCGTTCGTCTGCCAGAAGAAGAACCACTTCCAGGTGACGGTTCACATACAGCCCATAGGACTGCCGGCCTTCGCGAAGACACCCGAAGGTGTGCTCAAGAAGATCGACAACTTTTACCTACATTTCTATGGCGTCAAAGTGGAGTCACCGGCGCAGACCATCAAAGTTGAACAAAGCCAAAGCGACCGAAGCAAGAAGGCCTTCCATCCCGTCCTGTATGTCGTGTTTACCACACGTTAATCCACGATTATCTCATTGTCTTATACTATATCTGCTCTGTTTGTCTTAGCGTGGAGTTAATGCCGGAACAGGTGTCGAAGACAACTGTGGGTCGATTGCATTTCAGCGAAACCACGAGTAATAATATGCGAAAGAAGGGTAAACCAAATCCCGATCAGAGATACTTCTATCTCGTGGTCGCACTTCACGCCCACGTCGGCGACCAATCGCTGCAGATTATAGCCCACGCGTCGGAGCGTATTATTGTCAGGGTATGTGTCGCCATAGCGCCATAGGGTCTAAGCGTGACTATTGAATTAACATGTTGATATTCTGTTTCTACCTATTAGGCATCTAACCCTGGTCAGTTTGAAAATGACATCGAGCTTTCGTGGCAAAAGGGTCACTCGCCTGAGTCCATATACCACGCGGGACGGGTTGGTGTGAACACCGATCGGCCCGACGAGTCGCTTGTGGTCTACGGCAACATCAAAGTGACCGGACATATCATACAGCCGTCGGATCAAAGGGCCAAAACCAATATCGAAGAGTTGGACACAAAGGAACAGCTGAAGAACGTGCAGAACATGCGTATCGTTCGCTATCAGTTCCGGCCGGAGTTCGCCAAAGAGGTCGGTCTGAGCGGTGATGAGATGAACGAGACGGGAGTATTGGCACAAGAGGTGCAACAGATACTGCCCGACGCCGTGAAAGAGACGGGCGATGTTGTGCTGCCCGACGGCGAGACCATCGAGAACTTCCTTGTGGTGAACAAAGACCGCATTTTCATGGAAAACGTCGGCGCCGTTAAGGAGTTGTGCAAAGTTACCGACAATCTCGAGACCAGAATCGATGAATTGGAGAGAATGAATAATAAACTCAATAAATTTAATCGATTTGATTCAATCAAATCCGTTATCTCCACCTCTAGTATCGCCTCTGGAAGTACCGTAACGTGTAATTCAAGGTATGGCTCACAGCCGCTAATGTGGTCAATGATATGGCTATTGATTGATGTTTTGCTGATTTGATTGTGTTTTTAATTCAATTGTCTGTCTGTTGAATAGCTATACGAATAGACATAACACGCGGACCTGTTATAGGCATTCAAAGCATCGGCACCGCAACAGTGTCTCGTCCGCCGCACCCAATATATGCACAAATAAATTCATTCAAACAATTATCATGATATTAGTGCTAATTATGGCATTTTGGTCAGTATTCACATCACATATTTTTGTGATTTTTTTTGGGATCAATTGACTGATAAATACCATTGATTTGCTTATGCCTATAGTCTCGCATCGATCGCCACATTATATGTACTCGAATACCATAGAAGACATTCACATCACCCGACACTTCAAGACACACAACAATCGCCTACATATTCAAATTCAAACACACATTCATCGCCTGTAAATACACACAACAGTCCGTTCACACTATTGCCGCACTCCGTGTCCACACCCGGTGTCACATTTCCTGACCCGCAGTCAATCATGCAGTCGACAGACAAACGATACAATCCTAATAGGGGTACAGTATATACGCTATAACTTGGGATCCATTGATTGTTAACTAATCGCATACCGTAATCGTCCCGCAGATAAGACCCACCCGTCGTCGTACACGACTGCGTCGACCATCACTCGAGGCCGGCCGACATCCATACCAATACTCAAACCGCAAGTGTTGGGCATTCCGTACAGTTGTCTGGACATGAATACAGTCATATCTTCGTGTCCAACGCATTGCTGTAGCGATAGTGGACTCCTGGGCCGCCGGAGCACCACTTCGTCCACTCAGTCCTCACAGTCAGGGGCGGCGTCTGTGGTGGCGGTGGTGTCGCCCGCGGCCACCAAATTGACGCCCATTTCCACCAATAATATCATGACTCAGAAGAGTTCCGACTCAAAGGCCAGTACTCTGGGCGGCGGTTCCGGCGCTCACGATATGGACGACCCGTACTCTAAGACCAGTTACATAGAGGAAACGGCCAGCGGTGACCTCAACCACGCGAATACACTGACCCGACGGGTGGTGTCGGACACCGAACCGACCGGTATTTATAACTCGACATTAATCGGCAGTCTTTACGACAAACTGCTGAACAATTCGCTGATGAATAACAACCGAAACACCGGAGAGACGATCGGCGACCAGAAGAAGCGTACGGACGAGTCGTTCGCCTCGAAGTACGGCTCCGTTGACCTCCAGAGTCAGAACGAGTACCCGAAGAGTGAAGACAACGCGAACCGCGAGAAACGGGAGACGAGTGAAGGCCACCAAAAGGAGTCGGCGTTCAATTCGTTGCCGCAAAAAGATTTGTCAAAATCTGTGGATTTGATTAAATTGATTGAATTGAACGCCACTATTGGTCGCCAGTATTGCAATACATTGCAGTGCATTCAGGGATCGGGTCCTAAGTTTAATTATCTCATACCACTCTCCAAATACATGGACCTCGAATACGTCACACTTCAGTTCAGGTACACCCTTCCCCCCTACGCCACCCCATATACACCAACCCACATCCCCTCCCTATACTGTTGTCATATTTATTAACTGATAATTTGTTATTGATTGATACATAGCCTGAATCAGCACATGAAGGTAGACCACTGTGAGTCCAAATCCAAGCCCAGCAGCTGTTCCACAGCACATGACGATGAAGTGGTGCCGCAATCCTATCACAGATCCACTGATCATATATTAGTACCAGAGATGACACCCAATTGGCGGATACCTATCGGTCTATATATGAGAAGTACTTTCATATTCCGGATATTATCGAGAGATTCGGTCTCCGATTCGGTCAGTGTTTAACACTTTTTAAACAGAATATTCTGTGGTTTTTGATTGCATTTATTAATTGTATGTCTCATTACATGTATAGCCGTGTAATTTACCAGAATCTCAATCCGGCGTTTCGTTCATCGAATATAAACTCGAATTTTACCGAAAATGCGATAAATAGTTGACCGAAAAATACCCTCAAAAAGCAATATAATTTAGTGAACAAATGGATGACTGAAATGATGTAAAGAAATCACAATTCCGTCCGAAATCTATTGATTTTGCCCACAATTTATGCAGCGATTGATTAAATCGTATTAATATTTAATATAATATATAGTTATAAATATATGTATAAATAATGATGAATATTGTAATTGTATTTTAATTGTAATTATATCTATAATTTCGGTGCACACAAACTGATTGTCTTTAAAAAACAAATTATTATTAAGTTTTTGTCAGATTTTTGTTATTTTATAGAAATTTAAAACAAAAGTTTACATAAAAATATGAATACTTTTTTGTTGATATAAAACATAATTAATAATAAAAGTAAATATACTATAAATTGAAAACATGGTAAATGTCTTATTCACTGGACACAAGTTATTTGGATTCTTCCATCCGTTTCGTCAACTTTTTTACAGAATATTCTGTTGTTTTTGTTCATAGCATTTGTTAACTGTATGTCTCATCACATGTATAGCCGTGTAATTTACCAGAATCTCAATCCGACGTTTCGTTCATCAAATATAAACTCAAATTTTACCGAAAATACCGATAAATAATTGACCGAAAAGTGTCGCCAAAAACAGTGAACAAATCGATGCCTGAAATGAGCCGAAAGGGGGCCCAAAAGTGAGCGCTAATAATAGTGAACGTAATGTATGTATGGTTTGGGCATTGAATGCATTGAATGGCACACAAAGAGAGGCAATGAGTGAGTGTTTTGGGCAGACATTGAAAGCCAAACACAACAGACAATAGACTTAACACAACTAACTCTTCGCAGACATCACCAGCACTACATCCACTCCGACCACAGCCTCGACAGCGCCACAACTGTCGCCGCCAAAGCAGTCTTCTTCGGCCAACACATCCCAAACAATGGCCGACAATGAGATCGATCTGTACGCCGACGACTTGGGCGAAGAGTTCACACAGGTTTGTGGCCAACCCATTATCTCTTAAGACACGATCACTTCCAACTGATCCAATGGATCACGAGTTTTCTTTAATCACTAATTGTTGTCTCACTTTGTTTTCATACGAAACGATCGTTTGATTGTCTTTTGATTTTGTTGTCTATAATGAAAAACCGCTGATATTTTTGAAACCATTGATTTCAATGGACTTTTAATTATAATAATAATAATTTATTTTTTTGATTACAATTATAATAACTATGATATGAAACACGGGTTTTACAAGACATTCACAAAACAGCCCTTTGTTTATGAGTTTATTTAAATTGGTTTTTGATTTTTAAAATATGTTTTTGTTGTTATTTTAAATAAAAAACCTTTTGTTTTGTTTCAATGCTTTTCAATAGCATTCACTCTCACTATTGATCACTAATTGTGTGATTTTTTGTGTTAATTGTTAGCAAAACATGTAAATTAATTTATGAAATATATATTTATTTACTATTTATTGACAATTTTTTGTTTTAATTAACGGCTAATAATAGCTATCATTTTGTATCACAAATTGTATTCATTTTTAACTTTTAATGCTTTAATTCAGTATTTAAATGATAATTGATTTATTAATAATTGTTTTTTATATTAATTTTACGAGTAATTAGTTTTTAATTAGTATTTAAAGCAATATTTAATGATTTTGTTAAATGAATTGTTCAAAAAATGTGATATATTTGTGAACAAAACTAATATTTTTAGTTTTTAGTTATATTTTTAGTATTTTGTTAACAATAATTGGTTACACGTATTGTTTAATTAAATATTTATTTTAATTTAAAAGTATTTTAAACACAGCTAGGTGTTATTCAAAAGTAGAAAATTGTATTTTATGATTTTTAAATACACTATTAAATACAGAGTGAGAATCGCATCTTAGAAATGAAATTATTATTAGTTTTTTTTACACAAAACTTTGTTTTTGTTTAATAATTCCTGAAATAAATTGTAATATTTATGAGAAAAAAAGTTTCAATATTTGTTGGAAAACATAAAAACTATAAGAAATTTGTTGCCATTATTTTATAGATGAGATATTATAGGCATTTAATGAACGCCCGAAGCAATTGTTATTACTTATTATGAAAATGAAAACTAATTTTGTATTTCGTTTTCATTGATATTTATATGAATTAATACTGTATTGAATATTATTTCTAGAATTGATTTTAGATATAATTATAATAGATTTAAATTGATATAAAAGTGAAAATATTTGATATATACAATATTTACAATTTGTGTTTTACTTAAAAACATGTGTTTAATTTATGTTCACAATTGTATAATGATATTTAAATATATGTCTAATAATTAAATAATTTTTAAAATAATTGCAAAACAATGTCAACAATTGTTTAGATATAATTAACAATAAATAGACGACAAATGATATGTTAAACGTTTCTCTCGAATGGTGTAAATAATGTAAATTCAATTCAAATTTTTGTTTAACATTTAAAAAACAATTATATATTTTGCAATTATTTAATAGGACTTTAAAAGTCGATTATAAAAACTTGCAATTGTTAAGAAAGTCATTTTATACGAGGTATAAATTCAAGTATATTTTGTTAATTTTTAAACACAAAAACAATAAACTTTATAAAACGGGTTCAGAAACTCACATGAAAAATGAAATCAATTGATTAATTGGTATTTATTATAAAGCATTTTATTTTATTGAAAAAAAAATATTTATTAGCAAATAAATAAACGTTGAAATTAATAACAATTATTAACAAAATTTATTTTCTTATTAAAAATGGTGTTTTAAAAAGTTATTAATTGATTATTAAATGTAATGTTTAACAGATCTGTAAATCAAAAGTAATTTATAAATGAGTCAAAAATCATAAAAATGGTATCCATTTGTGAACAAATGTAAAGTTTGTTTAGTTTATTATTAATATTTTACTGCTATTTATAAATATATTTATTTATTAATAATTTAATAGTATTTAAAACCATTGCATGGAATTTATTAATTAAATTTGTTGTCTATTTGTAAACAACAGAAACAAAACTGTTATTATAGTTATAATAGAACCAATCGTTTGGTTTAATCATTTATTTTAATTTAATTAAATCTAATCATTATTAAAATATTTCTACTTTACAAAGAGTTCGTCCGCTTATAATGAATAAATGTAATGCATGTATAGTTTGTTCATTATATGCAAAGTACACAATACTGTCTATTAATGTGTAATTACTGTCTATTAATTTAATTATAACTTTAAATATTAGGTTTTAAATTATTTATTTGTTTAAATGCCTTTATATTTATTTCGTATATTATTTAATTAGCATTTATTTTTGTATTGTTTTTAATATTTATTGATAACTATTGTGTACACTATTAGGGGATATGTTTGCCTATAAATAACATGAAAATACTTTATAAGCGAATGTACACTATATGTGATTGAATACACACCAGTCGTTGAAATGCTTAACAATTAGTTTAAATATAACCGCTATTTTGTACACTATATGGGGGTATATTTTCTACTACACTATAGCATGTCTTCTGTATCTCATAAATACTTTTTTGAAAACTTTACTATTTTTACCCAAAATTGTGAACAAATAAAATTGTTTCTGATATTTAAAATCGCATTTAATTTAATTACTATTAAATCCTTTAAAATGTATATTATTTTTATTATCATTTACTTGAAACACACTTAACATAACTTATGATCACTTTTTCACACATCTTTATTAAAGTACACAATTGGTTATACAATTAGTTATTTATAATTTAAATACTAATTAACAAGTCTTTAAATACTGTATTTAGTTTTAAAAGCAAAAATTGATTAATTAAAATAAATGGCAGACATTTATAAGATATTTAATTAAAAATTGTAATGAATAGCCAATACATACGAAATGATCGGCAAATGAATGTGTGATTTAATTATACAATTGATAGCAAAAACCGATTTCACTGTAAAACCAAACCCAATATATAATAGGAGAACGACTACAACGAGTCGGGCCTTGACTTATACGACGATGTGATCACTCCGTCCGCTAATAACAAGAGGGGCGCCGACGACGAGGACTACGGCCTCCCGCAGGACAACGGAAACTCCCATCACATGAATAACAACGACGCCGGAGGCGATGGTATCGGTATCGGCGGCTCCGGTGGACCGCCCTCTAAGAAGATTGGCCTCTATGTGGGCAACCTTTCCTGGGTATGTGTGCGCTGTCGGCACACCCGCTCTCTGGCGGCGCAGTCTCTCTCAAATGTCATGAATTAAATGTAATGTTTGTGTCATTTGTTTTGTTTATGTATTTTAGTGGACAACAGATCAGGACGTGACGGACGCTGTCCTCGATTTGGGAATTCAAGATATATTTGAAGTGAAATTCTTCGAGAATCGGGCGAACGGCCAGTCGAAGGGCTTCTGTGTCATAACACTCGGCTCCGACAGCTCTGTCCGCACTGTTATCGAGAAATTGCCCAAAAAGTAAACATTTATAACAATTTTAAAAGTTATTTCTCTTAACTGTTTGTGTTGTTTGAAACTCGCAGTGAAATCCACGGCCAGAACCCAATGGTTACGCCCTGTAATCGACAGAATCTCAATCACTTTGAGATGCAGTCGCGAAAGACAGCGCCGGGCGGTCCGGGAGGCGGACCCCAACACTTGGGCGGACAGCAAAACTTTCCCAACCAAAGAGGAGGAGGAGGAGGAGGTCCGCCGCCGCCAATGGGTGGCAATCGGCCGCCACTTATTCAACGCCCGATTCGACCCAACGGTCCGCTAATACCGGGTCAGCCGCGTATGGGAGGAATGCCTAACCATCCCATGCCGTTCGGTGGCGGACCCGGTGGACAGTGGGGTCCCGGTATGGGACCGAACCCACCGCCACGTCCGCCGGCACCCATGCATCCGGGGGCGCCTCCAGGGATGGGCGGAATGCCATTAATGCGTTTACCACCGCAGGCGCCGCGCGGACCCCTTCCCAATCAGCCGCTACTGCGCGGCCCGAGTACTCAAAACGACCCGCGATCACAAATGCCACACTCAGGCCCTCCTATGCCCGACTGGGCCGACCCGCAGGGACCGCACCCGCACGGCCCGCCCGGACCTCACAATATGCTACTCCCACCTCCCGGGCAGTCGCAGCCCAACCAATCCATGCCTCCCAGAGTTCAACAAAACGACTTCTCAGGTATGGATGCACTCGTTATTGTGCTGTTAATGGTATTCATTAACTGTTTTGTTGCCAACAACAGGTCCGGTGCCGGGAATGCCACCGCCCGGTCCCCACTCAGGGCCGGCACCGCACGTGAATCCGGCCTTCTTTCAGGCACAACATCACGCGTCGATGGCTCCACAACAGCAACAGACCGATCAGTTTGGCAATCGTATGCCTCCCGGAGCCGTGCAGTTCGGTCACGGAGACTACCGCAGCGGACCCGTGGCCAACATGGATGTGCCCATCACTCTCCAGATCAGTGAAGGCGAGTTCGACGACATCATGAATAAGAACAGAACCGTTTCGAGCTCTGCCATCGCGAGGGCCGTAACCGACGCTTCTTCTGGTAAGTGTTTTGGCCGTCATTTGAATTGTAACTCAAGTATTGATTAATTGATTGATTGGTCTGTATTTCAGGTGACTTCGCGGCTGCGATCGAGACTCTGGTGACCGCTATATCGCTGATAAAGCAGTCAAAGGTGGCGAACGACGAGCGCTGCAAAATCCTTATCAGTTCACTACAGGACACACTTCACGGCATCGAAACCAAGTCTTACAGCAACTCTTCGTCGCGCAAAGAGAGGCCGCGATCTCGTGAGCGGTCGAGAGAGCGTACGTCCAGACGGGAGAAGTCCCGACGCGAGCGCTCCCGCAGTCGAGAGCGAGACTATAGGGACAGAAGTCGAGACCGATATCACGACACCGACCGTCACTACGACGGCGAACGCTATCGAGAGAAAGAGAGGGAACGCGAGAGAGAACACAGAAGTAGTCGTCACTGAAGACATTCGCTCCCGAAGAAGACAATCGGTGTCCGACTCTGTCTTTGATTTTCACATTTAAATCCCTTTTTCTAAGAATTGAATTAAAAATGATATGTTTTTTCTTTCTTTATGTCATTTAAAATCAATTTGTTTGATATATAATCTCTTTATAAACACATAAATAATGTATAATTTATTCATTAATTAATTATTTGACGATTTTTTTCTATTTCTTAATTACCGTAATATTTATCTAATTTTATGTTTGAATCCTTTCAATGAAACCATATGTCTGTCAAAAACATAATAAAAACAATTAATCTATGTTTAAGACATTATTTAAACCATTTTATATAGAAATCAACGAATATTTAAATATCGACACGAGAACTATTGGATCAAATGAGTTGATCTCTTCAGGCAATCATTCATTGTATTTATTGCTAAGATTTGTATTAAAAATGAATTGAAAATTGTATTGAAATTCAAATTCTAGTTAATGTCTGAAACATTTTATGATTGAAATGAAAAACTTTTCTTACATTTTATTTATTGAAATCAAAATCCGAACAAATAATTGATGACTAATTTGTAAATATTTTTTGTCTTAATATATCTAAATCACAATTTCATCACTTATTTTATTTGTTATAATAAAACGTTTTATAATTTAAACATTTAAACAACAACTAAATTATTTAATTAAAAGACACTAATTTGTAAATATTTTTTGTCTTAATATATCTAAATCACAATTTCATCACTTATTTTATTTGTTATAATAAAACGTTTTATAATTTAAACATTTAAACAACAACTAAATTATTTAATTAAAAGACAAAAAATGGTTTAATTTCTTTGGTTTTAACGCAAATATACTTTAGTTATAGTTTATATGTCATTGATATCACTCGAGCCCTGACTTACGGTGGGATCCATCTCTTGGATTACAACTATCAGAAGAAACTCATACAAAGACAATGCCTGTATTGGGATGCAATGGTTTATCGGCTTTGAACCCATATTGTGGCCATATGGTCATCACCAGGAACAACGACAACACTGCGGCTAAATATGTGGTTAAATAAGTTTGAAATATAAATGCTGTGATATCTTGATTAGCAAAATGTTGACCATTTGTTTGTCTCTTTTAAACTTTTTACAATTTTACCATTTTATTAAACATTTCGCTTTTTTGACATTTATTATAATAATTTGTTTTTAATTTAATGAAAACCCAATTAAACTTACAATTAAACTAAGTATTTATATAAGTATTAATTAAAACAATTCTATTTATATAATTTTAAAACTAGTATTAATTTATAATTAAATTGTATTTCATATGCATTTGAGTTGATTTTGAGGCACATTTTGAACGCTCTGTTGTAATAGTCTTTGGTATCCATTCAGCGAT